TGAGAAGCCTATCCACGTGGTTTTGCCTGGGAGTTGCTCGAGATGGGGCGTTTGGGGGATTTTAGATTGTTGCGTTTCTTTCGTCGCGATAGACATGGTATTCAAGGAGCGCAAACCTGATTCTTCACCAGGCCACTTTCAACTGCTACCTTGGGGCTTCGCTTCACAAAAAGGGCGGGGTCGGGGGCATTGTGCCGACTTCTTTGATTGCACTAAACTATGGCGCCGGGCCAGTGTACGTAGGTGATGCTTCCATGGTTGGAGTATCCTGAAATGAATGGACGAAGCAGCTAAAGTGCGCCAATTCCATGCGCCCGCGCATATCGTCTTCAATGTGCAGCAAACTTTGCAAGCCATTGCACTCTCATCGAACTTCGCCTCACCGGTCCCCTCTCCGCCCGGTCCTCCTCTTGCTCTTGTCATCACCCTTCTCGTCCTCACATCGTCCACTCTCCCTTGTACTCCTGCACCCCTGCACTCTCACTTCGCATCCTCAACCAAACTCTTGGCCTCTTCTGCTCCTGTCGACCCTCACTCTCCGCCTCTCGCACTACCTTCATGCTTCTCTCCCCTCTGATACGGCGAACACTCGTCAGCCTAAGCCCAAGCACCGACGACGCTCATGCCGAAGGCGCCCAGGAACACCAGCACGCAAGCGACAATCCTGCGCCCACCACGAAGAACCTTCCAGCTCTCATCGCTCAGGAAATCCTCACTCAGCAGCTCGACAAGGCTCGCAAAGACGAGCAGACCAGAGCTGATGGCGTTCATGGTGCCGACGAGCACGAGGCCAAACTCCGAGCTGGGGTCGTACAGCGTGTGCGTGGCGATGCCGATGGCCTGGCCGAGCGGCGTGGTGCAGCCGTAGGCAAGAGCCATGAGCCACGGCTGCAGAGCACCTTCGTGCCAGTCGATGGCACCGATACGCGAGCCGAGAGCGAGACCTTCGAAGGTTTGGTGGAAGGCAATGGCAATGGTGAGGATGACAAAGTCGGAGCCAACCGAGACGGCGAGGGTCATGCCGATGAAGATGCTGTGGAAGAGAATGCCGACCTCGAGCATCATACACTGGAGAATGGCCTTCTGGTGTTGCTGGGCTGGAGTGAGAACATGGGACGATGTGAGCGGCAGAGCGTCCTCGATGGTGCGGGCCTCCTTGTTCGGCATCACCGGGGGCTGGATGGGCGCAGTGGTTATGTCGGCAGTCTGGCTGATGCGGGAGAGCTGGCGGCCGAGGCTGTTCGAAGTGCCGCGTCGGTGACCATTGACGACGGGAGGAACGACGTCGGTGTCGTCTCCATCGTCGTCCGAGTTGGAGCTGGTCACCTCGCGACGCACAGGACCATCGGGGATGATGTGGCGAGCGGGCTGGAAGACCATCTCAATAATGGCGACGAAAAAGACAGCGGCGAGTGCAATGGCGCCAGGCATGGCAGGGTAATCACTCGTCCAGAAGCTCGACAGGCAGGGATCACCCAGCAGACCAAAAGCCGTGGGCAGCAGGTGGACGAAGGCGGTGGCGATGAGCACGCCAGTACCAAAGTGACGGACGGCGAAGAAGAAGTTGGGCGGGATGCGCATCCATCGGACCTTTTTGGCAATGATGGGGAAAGCACAAGCGAGGAAGCTGACGGCGAGAATGATGAAGAGGGCGCCGACGTGAAGAGGCAGATCGTACTCATGGATGTTGGCGCCGCCACCGCCGCAGGTACTGTCGCGCCTGGTCATGGGGCGGGCCATGATGGGGGAGACGGGGGAGACCGGGGCGCACTGAGCGGCAGGCGATGCGTGAGGAGGCGAGAGGCCAGAGAGCGACGACGAAGAGGCAGATGGAGACGAGAGAAAGGGGATTCCTGAGGTGCGGAGGTTTGAGAGGATGAGGGAACACGCCAGGACAGAGGCTGTCCATGTAATCCAGCCCCAGGCGCTCCTTGCGGGAGAAGCAGCCTGATGATGGATCACGGCGTGGGAACGTGGTTGGTCTTCACCACCAAGCACGTCCTTCATCCGGAGATGGTCGGCAACGATGCCGACGCATCGTCCGGAGCGGGCATCGGGGCCCGCGGTGGCCTGGTCGGCGGGCATGCAGCGCGGATGGGTGAAGTGATTGTCGGCGTCGAGTTCAGAGGCAGGCCCACCGTTCCCTCCTCCACCCCCGCTGGCGTCGTCACGGCGCTCACGGGCGTTGGCTTTGCCGTTGAGATCCTCACAGGTGGTGAGATCTGCGGCGAGGTAAGGGGGGCTCTGGTTCCAGTTGGGATGGCTGATGGTGAGGCCGTCGTTGCGTGAAGGGCAATTCATGGTGGCGACGGGCTCGTCGATCGATGCGATCCTAGTTCGTGTTTCAACAGGTGGCGTGTCGTGGTGCGATTGGGGGCTCGCGATGATACGATCAGGTACTCGTTGGCACAGCAGGCACTCGGAGACGTCGTGAGATGGCTGTCCCGTTGAATGGAGGGGTGGAGAGGAAGTCAAAGATCGAAACAGTCACAGACGGACTGATGACAAGAGGCGTGGGTCAACATCATGTCAAGTACTCCTGCGCCCACCACAGGCGCGGCAGGTACCACCTGCCAATCTTACCGGCGCACGAAAATTCGGCGGGTGGTCGTGACTGACACGAGTGGAAGAGTGGAAGGGCCACCCGGGGCCCAGATTAGTGCCACGAGATGCCGGAAGCAGGCGCACCCGGTTGGCCAGATGCTCACTTGGCTCGGTACAGCCTTCTTCCCCAGACTCTGTCGAACGCCTTAGCGGCTGAGGTGGGCCTGCTAGGTGCCTGCTCGATGGCCTGCACATAGCCCCCACAGAGTCGAGAAATACAGGAACAGCCGGCCAAGGGGGTCGTCGCTGCCGAATGGGGCCCATCATTCGACGGTGCTTGCCACACGAGCTTCGTCACATTGACCACTACATGGAGTACCTACCTGTAGTGATGTATCTACCATGGAGGTAAGGTAGGTCGTCAGGCAAGTGGGCCCAGGTGAACCTTGAGGGCTCGCTGTTCTCATCATGATCATTCCTTCTCTCGGAAAGTCGTGTATCATCTTGGTGCCCAAGCCCCGACTACCCAGGTACCTAGGTACCTTAGGCCTTAGGTAGAGACACCTGTAGATGACACCTTGAGGGCTGAGAATGGGCAATCCGAATCAGCGTCTGACCATCAATTCAGCCACAGCAGCTGCTTTCCATAGAACAGACCACACTGAACAAGGCCAGTTGGCAAGAGAAGGTAGCGACGGCACGCTGCACATGCTCTTTCACACCGATACCCGCCACAGCGGCCGCACGTCTTGCGCCATGGTCATGAAAACCCAGTGCCGTCCCTGACGGCGAGACATTGTTGTCCATTGGCACCGGCAATACATGCCTCATGGCCTCGGTCATGTCTGCATTGCATCACCAACGCCGGCTGCCGATCCAGCATGTCGGGCTGATTCGGAGAACGGGCACCGTCCGAGCCTGGGCTTTTGGACGGCGCGGGGTGCACTAAGCCGTTTTGTCACGCTGATGCCGAAGCAAGGAAGAAGCCGGGCCTCGCAACCTCGGAGACCCGACCGGGTGAATGCGTGCTGCTTTGCTCTGCTCTGCTCTGCTCTGTTCACGACCCGTCCTGACAGGTGGCTTGACGCCAGGCCGTTGCAGCCGTTGTGCTTGCGCGCTGTTGGGCAATACATCCGACACAACAGAGACAGTACTGGGGCCTCGCCGCCTGAGCCACGTGTACACCAGGCTGAGACAGCCCTGAAGACCCCTGGAAAGTCTAAAGTCGAGTGCATGGGACAGTACAGTCGCGCTTGTGGAATCCGTATTGAAACGGAAGTCTTCGTGCTTTATTTCGATCACGGAAAGCGCATGCATTGGGAAATGTCGGTGTGTGCACAAGGGGCAACTTGGCTCTGCTTGCTCTGTCGGTAAAACTTCCTCTGAATAGACACTGGGCATGGCTCAGCATGAGGCACAGCCTCCTTGATTTCGTGCTGAGGCGAGATTGAAAGGGGGCGATGCTGTGAGATGAAGCAAGACTTTGTCATGGAGTAAATCGGATAGCATGATAAAGCCCCTATCGAATACTATTACGCTCTATCCGACGAAGCGCTGTAAAAGCCTTGCTGAGCCTCAGTTGGTGGACACCAGCCTCAAAACCCCCGAGTCCAGGCCTGTCTCTTGCCTTGTGCTTCTCCGCCACGGACACCCGACCCGTTTGCCGTGAGGCTCCTTCTCCTTGTATCACCAACTTCACCCTCTCCATATCTCGAGACACCCCCAGCGTGTGTATTGCCTATGGTTATTCCCCTCCAACAAACCTCAATTCTTGGCTCTTGGGCAATGGCCGTGATGTTTCTCCACACCACACCCTTCACAGCACGTGGGAGGCCGCGGACTTGATTCGGGAAGGCGGTGAACGCGTTCCCCCGTCTTCCGCCCTCGGATGATCGACGCCTCCAACCCCGCGGCCATGACCTTGAGGGCCTAGTACAGTGAACCTCCTTCCAAGCACTCACATTGATCAATGGCTGAAAAAGTTTGAACCGCCTTTATCCAACCTTGATGACATGGCTGCATCAATGGTAGCGCTAGAGACCTTGCGAGGCATGGGCGCCTTGCCTTCTCGACACTTGTCTTATGAGACGGCCGCCAGTCAGCAGATTCTCTCTTCGTCCCGCATCGTGCCTCATCCTGGCCCGCTATTGACAGGAGTTTTGTCGAAGCCCCTCATGGATGCGGACAACCTCGCTCTCGCACAAGCTGCGATCTCGGTCATCCTTCTCGTGGCCGTTGTTCTCCGCCCTTTCGTTCCTAGCCGCCCGCGATGGTGTCGGCAGTTTGCCCGCGAGCAGGATGATTACGCCGTGAGTCGCAAGACTTTGTGGACGCGTTGGACGCTTTATCTTGCGATGATGGCAGTCGCCGGCTTAGCTTCGAGTGTAGCGTCCGTCATCCTGGGACGACATAGCCTCCCGCGCATCCTGGAACTCGCGCCGTGGATGGCCGCCGGTCTCATCACTGCTTGGAGACGGCCCGTCAAGACACCTACGACGCTGCTCGCTCTTTACCTGGTCATCTTGGTTTGCAGCATCATACCGTTTGCGACACTTCAGTTTCACTTCAAGTCGAGTTCATGGCCCTACTTTGTCAACTTTGCCATCAGTCTAGCCTCCACTGCGCATCTCGCCATGCCATGCGCGATCCCAGCTCTTGACGACGGTATCGTCACAAGACCCGACGCATACCCTCCGCAGTCCCGAAGACACCTCACGCTGTGGAAATTCATGACAGTCTCCTGGATGGCCCCTCTCATCAGCCGAGGCAAGCAACGAAAACTGAACGACGAGGACATATGGCAGCTGCCATTTGATTTCCAACACGACAAGCTGCATACGCTATTCCGGGACCTTCAGGGCTCAATCGTCAGGAGGCTCCTGCAGGCTAACGGCTTGGACCTCCTCATCATCTCTGTCCTTGCCATACTGGAGTCGGCAGCCAACCTTTCCATGCCCTTGCTTTTGAAAAAGCTACTCGAGTCCATGGAGCTCGACGATGACCACAGGACGACGCCTATCATGTTTGCCGCCGCAATCCTATGCGTTCGATTGGTTGCTTGTCAATCCTCTGTCTTTTCACTCTGGTTCTCGAGGCGGTGCTATGAGCGCTCGCGTGGAGAGATGATCACGACAATATACGCCAAAACCCTCACCAGAAAATCGGTTGGTCAGGGACTCCCCGAAAAGGACGTCGGCGAACTGGAAGAATCGGACGTTGTCGACACAGAAGCTTGCCAGGATGATGATGCCAATGGCGAGGAGCAGCACGCGAAGAGCCGTTGGACTGGCCTCCTGTCGTTTCTACGCCTCCGGCGAGGAAAGCCAGGCTACCAGAAGATCGTCGCTGAGCCGGAAAAGACGAAGCAACCAGCCACGACGGGCAAGATATTGAATCTCATGAAGAGCGACGTGTATGAAGTTGCACAGCGATTTTGGGACTTTCCGCAGCTCATCGTCAAACCCCTTCAATTCATCGTGTCACTGGTCTTGGTGTGGCAGCTTGTTGGTTGGCCATGTCTTGTAGGCATTGCCTGCATCCTGGTTGCTCAGGTCCTCAACGCCTTCTTCATCCGCAAGGTCTTCCAGAACGAGCGCGTCCGGCGAGTGGCTGTGGACGAACGCCTGCAAGCAACAAGCCAGTTCGTCGAGGGAATCCGCCACTTGCGATGGTATGACTGGCAGTCAAAATGGGTGGATCGGATCATGGACACGAGGCAGCGCGAACTCGCCCGTATGGTTACCACGAGACTTTGGATCATTGGGATTTCAACTCTCAATATTGCTTCAGGTGCTTTGTTCCCTGTTGCCACCTTCTTCGCCTACACGGTTTTGGCCAAAAAGCCGCTCACAGTGGGCATTGCGTTCCCCGCCCTACAACTCTTCACCATGCTGCAGTCCAACTTCAGAGAGATTCCTGGTCTGATCCAGGTCCTCCTAAACGCTTCGATTGCCGTGGGCCGTATTGAACAATTCATGGAAGAGCCAGATAAGGATGAGGGGTCCTGCGACAACAAAACAAACGAGATCGACTTCAAAATAGCCTCCTTTGCCTGGCCTGGTACTGACACACCGGTATTGCGGGACCTCAACTTTGACATACCGCAGGGTCTGACTGTCGTGTTCGGCAGAGTCGGCTCCGGCAAGACCGCTATTTTACAGGCGATATTGGGAGAGTTAGACTGGGTGTCTGGCGACTTTGTCATTCCAAATGACATGATCGGATACTGCGCACAACTTCCATGGCTTCAACACATGAACATTAGGGAAAACATTCTTTTCTCAGCGCACTATGAAGCTGCTCGCTACAGGCAGGTTCTTGACGCCTGCGAGCTCTTGCCTGATCTTCGCGAGTTCAAAGACGGCGACCTCTCGGACATGGGCGAGAACGGTATCGGTCTATCAGGTGGGCAGCGAGCACGGATTGCCCTCGCACGCGCTGTCTACAGCCAATCGCAGGTCCTGCTCCTCGATGATCCCCTGGCTGCCCTTGATCATCACACGGCTGAGTCGATTGTACGAAAACTTCTGCAGGGACCCCTTGTGAAGGGTCGCACCATCGTGCTCGTTACGCACAGGGTCGATCTCTGCCTACACCTTGCGGACCTGATGATCGAGGTTGAAGGGGGAACGGCCCGAGTGCTGGGGCCAGAAGAGGCGTCGGTCGAGGCAGCAAAGTTCATGCGCAGCGAAGAGGGACATGCGGCCACACACGATGAAGAGCCCCAGATGACCGACGACAACTCGCAAACAGAGGCGACCCCGGAAAAGTTCATCGAAGAAGAACACCGCAATGATGGCGGTGTCATGTTCTCCGTCTACTGGGAATACATCAAGGCGGGAGCTCTGAGCAATTGGGCAACTCTTGTCGCTGTCTTTGCCTTGTATCGAGTGGCAACCTATCTGACGGCCTGGTTCCTCAAATCTTGGACCGAAGCGTCTGATACCACGATCGCAAGAGTGCCTTCAGATTCGTTCCTATCGCGACTTTTGGATCTAGCCTTCTCTTGGCTCCCGAATCCCAATGACAGCATTCAGCTTTGGATCCTTGCCTACCTTTGCCTTGCGCTGGTACAAACAATAGTCTACGTTGTCTCCGAGGGGCTCAGCCTTTTCATGATCTACAGGGCGGCCAAGAGCCTGTTCATTCGAGTCATCGACAAGGTCAGCAACGCAACTTTCCGATTCTACGACGTCACACCCGTTGGCCGCCTGATGAATCGCCTCGTATCGGATATCGGCATGATAGACGGTGGCATCATGGGCCCTCTGCAGCTGACCGCCTGGTTCGCCATCTCGTGGATCTCGAGCATGGGCGTCATTGCATCTCTGACTCCGCTCTTCCTTGCTTTCTCTCTTGGGGTGTCTGCCTGGTTTGTGTACATCTTCCTGTGCTTCTTACCGACGTCGCAAAGCTTGCGCAGGCTGGAAATGGTGTCGCTGAGCCCCCTCATGTCCAACTTTGGCATTCTCCTGGATGGCTTGGGCACGATTCGCGCCTTCAACGCGCAGCCCCATTTTCAGCACAAGAACATTGTGGTCGTCGATGCTTTCCAGAAGATGGATCACTTCTATTGGAGTTTACAGTCCTGGCTCATGTATCGTTTTGACGCCTTGTCGGCAGTTTCAACATTTGCTCTCACCATAGTCGCGTTGCAAAAGGGCTTCTCTCCGAGTCTGACAGCATTCGTCCTTACGACGGCTTCACAATTCGTCGAGGCCACCCACAATCTATGCAGACAGTACGGTACTCTGCAAATGGACTTCGTCTCTGTCGAGCGGGTAATTGAGCTGCTCTCCATCCCCTCCGAACCCTGCGGCACCGCCACGCCACCTGCCGTTTGGCCAGCTGCCGAGGACGCCATCACCTTTAACAACGTCACACTCAAATATGCCCCTCACCTCGATCCCTCCCTCATCAATGCCTCTTTCACGATTCCCGGTGGCTCGACCTGTGCCGTATTAGGTCGCACAGGCTCCGGCAAGAGCACTCTCGCGCTGGCCCTCTTGGCAACCATGCATCCGACAGAAGGCACCATTATGATCGGCGATTATAATCTGTCCGATCTCGACGTCCACGCCTGGCGCCAGCGCATCTCCTTCGTGGCGCAGGACCCGGTCCTCTTCCCCGGCACGCTGCGCGATAACCTTGACCCTCTCAGTCAGTTCTCCGACGGCGAGTGCGCCAGTGTCCTGGCGCGTGTGCTCGGTGGGGACTGGACCATCAAGTCGCGTGTTGAGGGTGGTGGAAAGAACCTGAGCCAGGGACAGAGGCAGCTCGTGGGAATCGGCAGAGCGGTGTTGCGGAGGAGTCCGCTCGTCGTGCTGGATGAGGCAACGGCGAGCATCGACCGCGAGACGGGGCGCAGGTGCAAAACGTGCTCGAGGTAGAGCTCAAGGTTAGCACGTCGTGACGATTGC